ACGACGAGGTGGCCGCAGCCATACGTGAGGCTATTCCGAAGATGTTTGGGTCTATTAAGACCACTTTGATAGAGACGTTTGACGAGCGATATGTTGCAATTTCTGAGTTGGCTGCTGCAGCAGCCATCGCAGCTGTCGTTGCTGCCAGGCCACAGGGAGGTGACTCGTTGCTGTACCGGGAGTTCAGCAACACAAAGCCAGCAGAGTTTGATGGGACTAAGGATCCAATTGCTGTGATGAGATGGATCTCTTTTATCGAGGGGTGTTTCTACACTTTTTCATGCCCAGAGCATTTGAAGGTGCGGTTCGCGCTGAACCAGCTTCGCTTGGGAGCGAAGGACCGGTGGAAGTTTGTGACGGCCAGTTTTACTCCTGCAGAGCATGCTGCAATGACTTGGGAGAGGTTTGTTGTGATGTTCCGAGATAAGTATGTTCCCCCTGGTGGAGAGGGAACGGTTGGCCCAGGATTTTCTGTCTCTCAGGCAGAAGACAGAGTCGGTGACTGTGATTACGCGAATGTTTCACGAGAGGGCGTTGTTCTGCCTTGAGCATGTGTCGACTGAGCAGGCACGCATTAGCCGGTATTTGAGCATTTTGAGGAGGGATATTTGAGAGTTCGTGGCGAACTCGTCTTATCGAACATTTGCTGAGCTTCAGGCAAATTCCAGGAGGAAGGAGATCGAGCTGGAGACTCAGGCCAGGGAGGATGCGGAGTCTCAGGGGAGAGACCGGCGGTCGGTGCAGTCGCAGCCGCAGCCGGAAGCCAAGCGGGCTAAGCCCGCTGATTGGAGATCAGGAGGCCAGAAAGGCCGCACTTGTGGCAAGTACGGCAAGAGTCATGAGGGATCTTGCCGGGCGGGGATTTGCTACAAATGTGGCAAGGAGGGGCATATGACGAAGGATTGCCCCAAGGGATTTGCAGTCTGTTTTCACTGCAATTAGACCGGCCATCGGAAGACCGAGTGCCCTCAGCTTGTTCAGGGATCAGCCCAAGGTTCCGCTCCTGTTGCTTTGCGTGCTACTGATGTTCGGCCGGTGAAGGCCGAGGTTCAAAAGGCTCGTGGGAGAACTTTTCAGCTGACAGCGGAGGAGGTCCGCGCAAAACCTGATGTCGTGGCTGGTACGTATTTCCTTATTTATTTATTCTGAGATTTATTGTGCTTATTCTGTGCTATATTTAGGTACATTTCTTGTGAGTTCTATACTTGCTTTAGTGTTATTTGACTCGGGTGCGAGTCGATTCTTCGTGTCTTTAGCTTTTAGTCGTCACATCAGTATCCGACGTGAGGCGTTGAGTCGACCTATAAGGGTTTCTATAGCAGATGAGCATGCGGTTTTTGCTACTGATGTATTCCGAGGATGTGTGCTGGAGATTTTTGGTGTCGAGTTTCCGATTGACCTGGTACCGATCGCGATGGGTGATGTTTGTGTCATTGTGGGCATGAATTGGTTGAGCCGTTTCGGAGCAGTGATCGATTGCGAGCGTCAGTTGGTGACTATACGAGACCCTAGTGGGGGAGTGCTTACAGTGTATAGCGAAGGTACCAGATCTGGGTCAGCTTTCTGCTCTGCTGCCAGGGCGAGGCAGAGTTTACAGCAGGGTTGTATGGGTTTCCTGGCGTACGTGATGGATATGCGGATTGTGTCAGAGAGGTCGAGTTCTATCTCCGAGGTTTCGATAGTGTGCGAGTTTCCTGATGTTTTTCTCGAGGAGTTGATGGGTGTGCCTCCCGAGAGGCAAGTGGAGTTTCGGATTGATTTGGTTCCGGGAGCGGCCCCTATCGCCAAGACACCTTATCGCCTTGCGTCACCAGAGATGCAGGAGTTATCCTCACAGCTTTAGGAGCTGCTGGGGAAGGGATTTATTCGACCGAGTAGCTCGTTGTGGGGAGCGCCAATCCTTTTTGTCAAGAAAAAGGATGGTTCACACCGGATGTGAATTGATTACCGGGAGTTGAACAAGCTAACGGTCAAGAACCGTTATCCACTTCCGAGGATCGACGATTTATTCGATCAGCTGCAGGGGGCATCTTGACTCCTATCTCTTGGCATTTCAAGCCCAAAGTGCCATGCATGGATGTAAAGCTCATGGCTTTACGTGATAAACGAGCCTTTAGAGTTTAGATCTAGAGTTTGGGAAGGTTCTCTGCCTTGAAATCGTCTGAATAGGAAATGAGTCTGAATGGACTCGCCGAGTCGATGAGCCGACTCGACGAGTCGGTTAGGGTTTGTCCCGATGAGCTGGCCATACTATAGCTCGGCGAGTTAGGGGTTAACTCGACGAGCTGGACCTTCACGAGACTTCTGAGGAACGAGTGGACTCGACGAGACGAGTGCACTCGGCGAGTCGGGTCAAACCTGGTCTGTTGACTCGAGTTTGACTTCTATTGACTTTAGGGTTTGGTCAGCATGAGTAATAGAGATCATGGAGGGGTAAAATGGACTTTTACCCATTCCAAGAGTTAGAGAGAAAGAGAGAACAACCTTTGGTGTATTTGAGTATGAGTAGGGTATTAATTAGAGATAATTATCCTATGTGTTAGGCGGAGGCTAGTTCGAGATTCTGAGTATGATACTTTTACTTGCTAGCTTACGAGGTGAGTCTTCTCACTATACTTACCACGAGTGGTATCTTTGTGTGATTGAGATGTTTATTGTGCTTACCTGTGTATCTTAATATTCTGCATTATGTATTTGTGATTTATGTTGAGTATTGTTATTATGAGCTTACTGAGTTGGGACCGGAGGGTCCCATTGAGACACATTGACCGGAGGGTCTTATTGAGTTATAGCCTAGAGTGGCTAATGAGCTATGTGTGGTATTTTGTGTGGCTAATGAGCTATGTGTGGTATTCAGGTACTTCTCAGGATCACAGGAAGGCGCCGACTTGATTGTACACACATATGAGATTAAGTTATGATTGAGAGGATCCTGGAGTTTTGATATATACAGTTTTTGGATATGAGATTTGATGATTTGACTGTGTGACATTTTGTGATTTTATTATTGGGAATAATGTGTTTTTAAATTGAAAATTTTGGTTTGAAAATTGACGTTGTTACAGGTAGGGTTCATGGGTGGGCGTGCCGATCTGGTAGTTTGTGCCACAAATGTGGCAAGGAGGGGCACTATGCGAGGGATTGCCGCGAGTTAGCCCCAGTCCAGAGTACGAGGATTTGCTATCATTGTGATCAGGTTGGCCATATGAAGGTCTACTGTCCATTGCTCGCCGCCAAGCCTGCGCAGGCCCCGACGCCAGCCACGTTGAGGATCACTGATGGACGTCAGGGGAGGGCGCTAGCCACGTTGAGGATGATGTTGATAAAACTAAATAGTTTAAAAAAAAAAAACTCAATATCAAAATTTTATATCTAACCAATATAAAATTTACAGTACTTATATCATTAACTCAAAATCAAAACTGAAACATATTTTTACCTTTAAATAAAAACCACATATTTATATTTTTAAAACAAAATAACAACATATTATTATTTTTATAATAACACATTTTTTTATAATAACACATTATATTTTTTATGAAAATAAATATATTTTATAAGAAAAACAAAGATAAATCTTAAAAATTACATCATGTAAAAATTAAAATGTAATAAAATGATGTTTTATACTTCAAATATTTTTAGATAAAAAATAGAAAAAGAAAATATTTAATGATGTGTTGTAGTATGAATATTTTAATTAAAATCTAAACACCAAAAATTATTTATATATTAAATAAAATATATTTGCATGATTAAAATTTATAAGTTTTAATTTATATATATATATATATATATATATATATATATATATATATATATATTGCATTTTGATTTGATTTATGGTAATTAATACAAGATTTAATGAAACATATCAATTATAATAAATGAAGATTCATTTTGCCACATGTCAATCTCTCATGAGTTTTGACACTTGTCATTTTGTGATATTTTTGAAATAAATAATATTCACATGTAAATTGTTAGGTTTTTCAAATTTTAAAATTAAAAAGGCACATTATATTTATATATGTAAAGTATTAAATGTCATAAATATGATATTAAATTGCAATTAATATATTTTTTTATTTCTTATTTCAAAATTTTATTTTAAAAAATATTTATTGTTTACACTTTAATATTTAATTTCTTTTTTAATCAACCCGTGTATTATACGGGTTTTACACCTAGTTTAAAATATCACAAATCGTCATTGGACAAAATTTCACAAATGGTATTTAGTCAGGTTTTACAAAATAACAAAAATAGTCCTTATCTAAAATTCTTTCTAACTTTAATGGATCAATATGTGTGAGCGGTTTGGTACCGACTATAGATGTAAAAAAAATATTGTAGAAACTATTAAAGAGACAATAGTAAAAGCTATAAAAAATTGAAGGCGATAGTACCGTTTGCTTGTATGGTGGAAATAGTTTAATTTTTTTAACTATGATGCATGCATGGTCGATGGCGATTAAAATATTCTGGGCAAAGTTGACAAATATAATTGTGGATAATTAGGGAAACAATTCAAATATAGTAAAGCAAATTGCAGGTTTTAGGCACATTTGCTAAAAATTGAATATGAAATAATCTAAAAATTGCAGGTTATTGCGTGGAACATCCAAACGCCTGGTTCAATGGCAGTTTTCATTGACCTGAACCCTCCCGAATACTTTGTCAATGTCAACCATCTTTTGTATAAATATACATCCCATCATCCATTTCACTTCGACATCATCTTGCACCTAAAAACAATTACAGACAAGTAGAAGAAAACAAACCAATCTCTCTCTCTCTCTCTCTCTCTCTCTCTCTCTCTCTCTCTCTCTCTCTCTCTCTCTCTCTCTCTCTCTCTCTCTCTCTCTCTCACACACACACACACACACACACACACACACACACACACACACACACACACACACACACACACACACACCACACACACACACACACACACACACACACACACACACACACACACACACACACATTTCATGGGTAATGTGATTCATGCTTGTTGCATGGTAAGTCATGATCAAGGGTCATTTCCGAAAGTAATTTATTGGGAAGGAAACACAAAAACCCTCACAAGAAAAAGACAAGTAGCTGCAGGAGAAATCATGTTTGAGTTCCCAGAGAGCATGGTCTGCGATGCTGATCGCTTCTTTATTGGCCACACCATCCCGGCTTTATCCATTGATGACCAGCTCAAGCCTGGTAAAACGTATTTCGTTCTCCCACTCGACATCTTCTCTACCGAAATTCTCTCAGCTTCTTCAATATCAGCCTTTGTTGCCCACACGCCTAAACTAATTAACCCAGCTCATCTCAAGGAGTGTCCTCTAGAATATATAAAGGGATCAAATGGGAGAGTTTTGATCAAGGTGAAACCCGAGTTTATGGCAAGGCATCTTACTAGTAGGGTTGAAGGTCATGATGATGATGATGATCAAGGAAACAAAGGTATAGGTGGAAATAATTCAAGTCGTAGTTGTTTGTGTAGTACACCTGAGCTGAAGAAGGAGTATGAACAGTTAGTTCGGTCTAAGGATCAAACGTGGTCTCCTAATCTTGAGACCATTTCAGAAGCGAAGAGGATTTGGTATTCTCCATATAGAGTAATAGGATTGGAATGGAAAGACAAAGATGAGTTGGACGCATAAGCAAAACTAAAAGAATGTTGCAATGGTAGTTTTAATAATTATATCGATCCAATTTCTTTATTTTTTCAATTTTTTCTACTTATGTGGATGTATGATAGATTAATTATGGAATGAAATGTAACAAATAATTTGTATAAACATCAATAACATGTAAGATTGCTTTTCTCTTTTCTGGTTTCGAACAAATAGTAAACTTGAGTTGGAATGTTGGATACAGAATTCAGTAACAATATTGTTTAATTATGTTTTTTAAATACGTACCGGTCATATTTATTGTCTCATTTTAAGTTCATAGTTTGTATAATGTATATTTATGTGTTCATACCCATCGTTTTTTTAATGTTTGTTAATTTGTCCACTTATTGTGAGACTAGTATTTTAGGGCATGTGATAATATCTTCCACATTAATCTTTCTCTTCTAATGAAAGACTCTTATACATGCCAAATGCATTATCCTTTTCTACACATGTACTTTGTCAAGTGTAAAATTCGCGGATTAGAACCCGAGACCTCCAATTTAAAAGGCCAAAGCCTCTACCAAGTGGGCTAGTACCACATTGGTTCAAATTAGAAACTATTGTATTATCCAAACAAATCAGCAAAAAAATCATCTAATTATTTGAAATGACATAATATTAGGAAGTATTCTCTGACTGTTTCCCCTTCTTTTTGTTTGCAACGAATGATTGAGTGCGAATCTCCTTTGTACTTCCTCAACTGCATGAAGTTTGTTAAGAAAAGATACTTTAGCTGCCCGAAGTTGTATATACTTCTTGGTCTCAATGTTTTGAACCACGTTCCTGCGTTGCCGTCCAAGGTGGTCGGAAAATTGTTGAATTAGATGTCTAAGCTCATAACTATAATTGGTATGTACTTGACCCGATAGTAGCATAATCCTTTTGGGTTGCCTTCACCATAGCAACTTGACATGATGAATTGTGAGAAAAAGGTTGATAAATGATTTATTAATATATTATAAGAATAATATATTAATTGAGAAATCATATTATTTAATTAGTATTGATCAGAAATTAATTTGGAATTAATTTAGCGATCAAAAGAGACTGATTAAAAGAACAGGGACTGATTATGTAATTCAGTAATAATTGTAGTTTGGGGTAATGGATCCTATTGGTATAGGATGGACGAAAATCTATGGGAAGCCCATAGAGTTTTCGTCCAAGGCTTGCCATAAGGGAGTCCATATGTTGCTTAGGGCCTAAGCAAGGGAAATTAGGGTTTTCAGTTGGAAAACCCTAGCAGCTCGGCTATATAAGGAACCCTTAGGTTACAGTTTTCGGCTATGCATTCTTAGAGAACCCTTTGGCCAAAATTGTGAAGCTCCACAACCTTTCTCATTCTTCCTCATTGCTAGTGGTGTTTGTGACTCCATTAGAGGTGCAACAATTGAGGCACTAAGCTCTTGAAGGTCAAGATCAAGCAATCAACAAGAAAGGTATTCTTCTAACTCTTGTTTTATTTATTGAATCCGAAAATATGCATGCTAGATTAGGGTTTTGCTTTGGAAAATTATTATGCATGTATAACTTGAGAAAAACCTAGATCCAAAGCAATTAGGGTTGCATGTGCACCATAGGAATGTTGTAATGCTCAAAACCCATCAGAAATACGTACACCAGAATTGCTCGTCCAGCTTAAGCGATGTCATCGTCCACTCGTACGTATCGATGTGGCTATCAGGGTCTATGGTTCCGTTATAGGTTTCTAGGTGTGGCAGTTTTGTTGTGTTTGGGATTTCGTAGTCTAGAAGCTTATTGGCGAATGGAGACGTCATACGGCGCGATAGGTAGTCTTGGTTTGGGATAGAAAAAGCACCCTGTGAGTTGTATTGTGGGGCCGTGGTATATGGATGCGTGGTTGTGCTGCTGTAGGGTAAGTAGTGGCTAGGGTTTGGCCCATAAAATGCTTGGTGTAAAAATGGTTAGGTTAACATCTGGGTAGGAAATATGGGCGAGCTTTGTGTATGGAGGTTGTTAGGTATGATCTGTTGGTAATGCGGGGTCGTAGAGGGAAAAGAGGTGTTTGCTGAAAACGGGTTTGTCGGGAAAGTCATTGTTTGGTTTCTCACCGGTTGGTCGAGTGGTGGCATTTGGAGAGCCATTGGCACTTCCCCCGCCATCGGTGCTATTGGTGGTGAGAAAATCGTGGGTTGTGCCCCTATCGTCTGGCTTGGTGGTGGTGTTGTTTGGAAAACCACCGGTTGAGCAACTGTCGCCTGGTTTAACGGTGGTGGTGTCTGGAAAACCACCGATTGCACAGCTGCCATCTGGTTTAGCGGTGGTGGTGTCTGGAAAAACCACCGGTTGCGCAGCTGTCGCCTGGTTTAGCGGTGGTGGTGTCTGGAAAACCACCGGTTGCGCAGCTGTCGCTTGATGTGTTGACGACTGTTGGAAAAGCCCTGGTGTAACGATGAGGTCTTCCACCGCTGGTGACACCACACCAGTTGGCGCTGCTGGAAGATGGGATGTCTGCATCAGAACACTTGTTGATGACACGACGGTGGAGGGAGGTTGTCCCCCGTTAGCTGGTTGCTCTTGTTCGGCCAGTGATATGGCAGCTACCACTGAACTACCCTCGTTTGATGTTTCTCAAGTGATTATCGCAGGAGGCAGGGTGGGGGTTTGCTCTAGCGATGTCATAGACCAGATGGGGCTGGTTGGCGTTCCGCCGGTTCCTCCTGTATCACCGGATGCCATTTTTCTCTGATGAGTGGTATGCTTTTGGTTTGTTTTTCGTCACACGACAGATGACGCTAAATGATGTGACCTGGCCTTCTGCTCTCCGTCCTCCGGACCGAGTAACTCCGGTGAACCTGCGAGGTCACAGTACGGAAGAGGTCGTCAGCCGTTCTCCGGGAAGAGCTCCCGGGAAAACGCTCTGACGGTCAAGTCAGTGGGTATACTCTAGGTTTGAGTGGAGTGTGAACTGGTAGAGAATCACTTACTTCTCAAGGCATCGAGGGTAGCCTTTTATACTGAACTCCCCTGCTAGTCCGTACGAGACAAATGCGTCAGACTCGACAGGATCGGGGACGCTGATTGGTGGATCGTGCTCCTGAATCTGTCAGGACCAACGATTGGTTGCGGCGGTAATGCCCTGAGCATCCGCCTTGTCGCATGACCGTTGTGTTTATCCCGGAGCGAAAGGCGAACCAGGTGGGGCCGAGCCTTTCTCGAGAGCGCCCTGCTCTTAGGGGCGCTGGCGGGCGCGGGATTCTGTTGGGTTTAGCCTGCCGGGCACGCTGCGCCTTGGGGCGTTTTCTATTGTGGTCGGGCGCGACCCTTCCGTGCTCGTTGATGCACGCCATCTTTTCCTACCGTGGCTGGGCGCGACTCGTCCGTGCTCGCTAGGGCACGTCATCAGGGTACATTAAATAAACGAAAGCAGTAAAGGGGGGGGGGGGCTATTATTAAATCTTAAATAAATCAATAACTAAACTAACTAGATAAACTGTCTGGAAACGAATCACTTCACGTACTTTGGTTTAAATTGGATTACATCTCAAAATCATGGATAATTACTTTGGTGCAATGGTCATTTATTCATTATTCATCGATTCCTAAATTTATTCATGTATTTGGTCCATATACGAATACTAATGACTCTAAGGACTTTTGATTTCATCGTCATGCCATGAATTATCCCTAAATTCATTGTTCAGTTCGTATCATGCAAGATTTGGTTTTTATTAATCCTAACAATTATTAGAACTAAGTCATGCTAATAATGGTTATCTAAAACATACACACACATTAATGTTCATGACTTTATTAACCTAACCCTAGGTTTTGATCCAACACTAGTCACAATTATTTTACGGTAATAAAACAACTATGATTCAAGAATATATAACTAGATTGTTTTTCTAATCGCATAGACTCAACAATAGTTAATAAGGTAATGAGTTTTAACACATATGGATCTTCAATCAAACTTGACACAATGAATTAAATTCGGAAAGTAAAGATAAAAGGAACACAATTGAAATACTAATCGTGATCATAAAAGAAAACCGAAAGATTCCCATCATAAATCCGCTCTCGAATCCTTTAGATCTTTGCTCCATATCAGCTTAACGGCCCTCCGTCCGCCGTCTAGACTCTCATAATCGCAGCTCTGGGTTTATTTTTGTAGAAAACAAATGGGATTGTAAGATATCTTTTTAGGGTTAATTTTCGGCTTAATTTATAGGTTTCAGCGTCGCCACGACGTGGTAATGCCTTTGCCACGTCGTGGTATTGGGTTTCCGTGTTGGACACGAAGTCGTAAACCGCCTAAGGAAAAAATGCGATTTTTGCAGATTTTTAACAAGGCGTGACGTGCCTCATAAAAGACGCGGCGCGTATTCCAACGTTCTTCCCAAATGTTGCCATTTTTCGTCCGTTTCAACTCCGTTTACTTCCTTTTGCACACAACTCATATTTTAACTGCAATTAATCATTTCAAAGCATATTAAGTATCATATATCTTAAAAAATAGCATTTTATTCAAATATATTAAGATAATGGCCTAAAATATATAGTTAAAAAAGGTTATATCATTATCCCACTAGTCAAAAAGCTTTCAAAGTGTTGAATCTTGTCACCAAACGAATTCATATTACAAGACATTGTTTTCTTTGAGGATTTATTTCCTTTGCACTCCATGATCAAAATTTCTTTGGATAAATCTACTTCTCATATTCCAGTTAATTCATTTGATCATATTTCCAATTATACCCCTATCCCTTCTTCTACTCAAACAAATTCTCTTACACTAGCAAATTCCCATTTACATCAGCCTCATCAAGATGATCCTAATAGAAGGTCAACCATAATTCAACAACCTCCAATTAGACTTCAAGATTACATTTGTAATCAAGTGGATTTTAGACATATTTGTTGTCATACAATCGCAAACTTATGTGTTTTAAATAAGAATTCCCATTCTTCAATTCAATAAGTTCCATCTATTTCCTTTGCTATTAATGTTGAACCCATGGTTGTCAAAATCGCGATCCTGATCGTAGGATCGTACGATCCTAGGTATGAAAAACGATCTGGATCGTATTTGGGGTAGGATCGTAAGATCGTAGGTAGGATCGTAGAATCGAGATCCGATCCAATCCTACCTTCCATTGATTTTTTTTTATTTTTTTTTTGCAAATGATTTTTTTTACCATTTTATGTCTTTTACCCTTTACCAATTTATCATTTATCATTTTGTGTTGTGACTTATGACTAATATTTTGAAGTTTTTATAACTTTCGAACGAAAAATTAAATGTTTGAAATATTTTTCATGATTAAACATTATAAATTAAAATTATATTTTATTTTGTTGGATCTTAGGATCCCGATCCCGATCTTAATTACGATCCTGATCTTGGAAACCCCAAAAAACGATCCTACATAGGATCCCTGTCTTGACAACCTTGGTTAAACCACAAGTACCAGAACCAAGTTTCTATCATCAGCTAAAGGAAATCCATCTAGGGAAGATGCTATGCAACAAGAGTTACATGCACTTACAACCAACCATACTTGGGATATTGTAAAACTTCCTAAGGGAAAGAAGTTGATTTCTTGTAGACGGGTTTACAAAGTAAAATACAAAGTTGATGGATCTGTTGAAATGTACAAAGACCATTTAGTTGCTAAAGGTTTCACTCAACACATGACACCTTTTCTCCGGTTGTTAAGTTTAACACAATGAGAAGTTTAATTTCTTTGGCAATCAAGAAAGGGTTGTCAATTCAGCAACTAGATGTCAACAATGCTTTCCTTCATAGAGATTTACATGAGGAAGTATACATAAAGTTGCTTCCAGGTTTTCAAGCTGAATCCCCTCATCTAGTGTGTAAATTAAGAAATACTCTATATGGTTTAAAACAAGCTTCTAGATAGTTGTATTCTAAACTTTCAGTTGCATTAAGGTCTAAATGATTTTAATCCTTCCAAGAATGATTACTCTCTTTTCTTGAAGAAAAATGTAGATTCCATTGTCATTGTTGTTGTATACGTGGATGACATTCTAGTCATCGGGAATAATTCTAAAGAAATAACCATTTTATAAGACTTTCTTAAGACTCAACTCAAAATAAAAGATCTAGGACAAATTAATTTTTTTCCTTGGTCTTGAATTTCAAAGAGTAAAGGATGGCATGGTTATTCACGGGAGCAAATTTATAAGGGAACTGTTAGCCATGTATATACCAGATGATCCTCCAGTATCTACACTACACCTTTGCCCAACAAAGTTCATCTTCTTCCAAAAATGGTCAATCCCCTTCAAGATCCAAGTGTTTATTGATAATTAATTGGAAAGCTGGATTTTTTAGTTCATACTCGACTGAATCTTGCATATTCAATACAATATTTGAGTCAATTTCATCAACAACCATCACAAAAACATTATGAAGTGGCTTTACATACCTAGTATTTCATGAGTAACGAAACATATAGAACTAATTATAGACGTTTATTTATGCTTTAGCTTCGTTCCTTTGTATATATTTATCTTTTCTATATTCATTTAGAATAAAAATGAAGGATATTTTGCATTCTCTCTTTCCATCTCAAATTCGTTTCATGGTGAAAGTTAACAAGTATAAACACTAGTTAAGTGGAGAACAGATCCTTCCTTCCCAGCTCAAGAACATCAGGAAATCTTGATTTAAAAAACATATATGGATGTTTTCCCCGAAGAGCATTAAATCGTTTTTTCTCGCTTGTAAAGATACCCCAGCCGTCGCAAAGATCCATGCTTTGATGATAGTTTCCGGGTATATTAATACTGGGAATTGTAACACCCAACTCATAGCCTCGTATTCTAGAACTGGGGATATTGAACTTGCTCACAAGGTGTTTGATAGAATTCCTAAGAAACGGGTGGATGCTTGGAACGCTATGCTTATTGCTTTCTCTAGTAAAGATAGTCCTGGTGAAGTAATTAATCTATACCATGAATTGAATTCTGAAGGAATTAGACCTGACAGCTCCACTTTCACGGTGGCACTCAAGGCCTGCACAAGCATGATGAACTTGGAACTGGGAGAAGAAATTAGAAAGCAAGCATTCGAGTACGGGTATGAACATGATGTATTTGTAGGATCTTCACTGTTGAATCTCTACGCAAAGTGTGGGAAAATGAATGACGCACTTAAAGTGTTTGAGAAAATGCCTAGAAGAGATGTTGTTTCATGGACTACGATGATAACAGGGTTTGCTCAAAGTGGGAGAGGCGATGAAGCCATAGATATATATCGGCTTATGCAAAAGGAAGGCATGGAAGGAGATCGAATTGTGATTTTGGGTTTGATTCAGGCTTGTGCCAATGTTAACGATACAAAATTGGGTCTTTCTGTACATGGCTATCTAATTAGAAGTCATCTTCTTCCCATGGATGTAGTAATTCAAACCAGTCTTGTAGACATGCATACAAAAACTGGAAACATTGCGCTTGCAGCTCGAGTATTCAAATCAATCCACTACAAG